AGGGTGAAATGCAAGTATGGTGTGTTAGCGGGAACTAAGAGTTTGATAGCTAAATCTGAGCACTTAGGAGAGTCCCTGACACATGGTAGACCCTTAAATGTCAGTTTAAAAAATGGGAGTATGGAGTTTGAGGTTGTAGAGATGAGTCTGAAGCAGTTTGTAGGTGTCAACGGTAGGTGGTTGTCGGTGGTAATACACACTAGTTTATTGTATACTTACAGATGCGCAAGCTGAGTAATTAGTTAATCCTCACAGAGCCTTATAAAGCTGATAGTATTATTCTTATTTTCTAATGAGGGATGGTAGCATGGTCCAGAGAGGTTAAGTAAACTTGCCCAAGGTCACACAGCCTGTAAAGGATAAAACAGATTAAAAACCCTGAGTATGGTTCTAGAACCCATCTTTTTAACTACTGTCCTATATTGCTTTTCCTATTCTTTTTTTTGAACTTTTATTTTTTTATTTTTATAAAATGTATATATTTGAAAGTGTGAACAGGGGAGGGGCAGAGAGAGAGAGGGACAGAAGGTCTGAAGTGGGCTGTGCACTGACAGCAGAGAGCCCAACGTGGGGCGTGAACCCACAAACTCACAAGCCATGAGATCATGACCTGAGCTGAAGTTGGATGCTGGATGCTTAACCAACTGAGCCATCCAGGCGCCCCCTCTATTGCGTTTCTGAAGGCTATGAGAGTGACAGTGTGGTCAAATCTGCTTTTTAAATAGGTAACAGTGGCTGTAATACAGAGGAGGGAGTTCAGGGGGGAAAAAGGCTCAGGGACCTGCTAGGGCTGTGTAAATCAGAGATGCTGTGTTCTTGGCAGTCCTTTAGAGCCTGGGGGAGGTGGCCACTGAGGAAGGACCTTAGTAGCAATCAGGGAAGCACTCCTTTGGCTCCTCCAATGTCATCATCTCCTGGTCACCTTGAGAAGTCTAGGTTTGGAGAAATGTCACCCCAATAGTGCCATCTCCTGTGGTGCCCAAGGACAAGTGAAAGGGTCCGAATGGAGGTGGTGATGTAACCCTCAGGCCTCTTTGTTCTTTTTCTTTCTTTTTTTAAACTGACCACTGAAAATAATAGCTATAATTTTGGCATAATTGCATGCCAACACCGTGTTATGTTCTGACATCTCATTTGCTGCTCATGACCCTGTGTATGTTGGTATTCAAGATGGGGAAGCTGGGGGTCCAGTAGTTGAATAAACTGTCAAAGATCACTGAGCTAGAAAGGAGTAGGAGTGGTGTGTGATCCCACAGCCCACTTCTTTTTCAGCAGTGTTTGCTGAAAGACTTCAGCCTTCGTCAAAGCACCCCGCAAAAACAAAAAACAACAACCGGCTGGCCCTGTCCTGTGGCTAGAGGTGTTACTTCCCCTAGTGAGTTCCACCTTCTCAGTTTGTGTGGTCCCTTGTCTCCGGCCCCATTCGTCGAATTCCTTCATGGCTTCCTTGGAGAATCTGTCCCTCCTAACCCCTCCCCCACCCCATCCTGGGGACATTCAGGAATTTCTCTTCTGAGTTCCAACTGCAGTTGTGGCTCCTGGTGGAAAAGGCCTGTCAGGTGGGACAGCCAGCTTTGCTGTGTGCTCCCTGTGCACTCGGCTCTCGGAGTGCAGAATCTGAGGTCTTTGTTTTTAATCATAATAGTTCACATCTTTTCTTTCCATGCTGATGAGCAGGAGCCAGCTGGGGCTTGTAACAAATCTTCCTTTAATTTCCACTGTGATGGATTATTGCTTCACTTAAAATGGTGTTTAATTTGTACATGTGCCCTGAGGCTTTTAAACATCGAGCCCATTAGATTATTGTGGGAAATCAGTTTGGACTCCAGTATGTTCAACGAGTTGGACTCGTGAAGCAAGGGGCATGTCACAGGTACCAAAGTCCAACAATCGAAAAGTAGTAAGTTCTGCAGGCTCATACCCTAATTTCTTCCTTTAAAGAAAAAAAAATCATCTATTTTACCTTCCTTCCTAAGAATTGACTCAAAGAGGCAGCTTTTAAAAATTTTTGCTTAAGAGGGAAGAAGATAGTAATAGATGATGAATTTTTGGACCTAGCTGTCATCTTTTTTTTTTTTTTTTCCTGTGACAGCCTACTCTTTCTTTTTAGACACAAGGACCCTCTGTTGATTCTGCTTCAGCTTGCTTTTTACTTTCCCCCTCTCATTGCCTCCAGCTTACCTTGTAGTGGTTGGACAAGATGCATATTTCAGCAAGCCACTTTTTCTTTCCTTTTTTTCGGGGAAGGAGTCGTCCTTTAGATGCCTGTGAATTCCTATGTATGAAAAGAGGAAAGAGGGAGAGGAGCAGAGTGAATAGTGAAGTCTCATGCCTGCTGTCTAGGCCCTCTGGGGTCTAGCACCCAGCAGCCTGAGACCCTGCTTATGGACTCAATTCTTCTCTTGTCTTTTTAAGTTCAGAACTATGGTGTGCCGTGAATGTGTGTGCATAGGTATGTGTTTGTATGTGACATATTCACATTTAGTACACACTACAAATGCTTATTCCTCAGAAGGTAGCTTTGAACAACTTTTGGAATTCAGATTTGAAGCTGAGCATAACCAGAAACCCCTGCCTGCAAACTCCATCTCCCCCCGCCCCCCCCCCCCCCATTTCCTATAGAAGAGAAGTGAGAGAAGAAATAATTCTACTCTGGGGAAATGCATAATTTAGAAGCTGTCTGCATGTATAAGAAAACAGACTCTGTGGCTGCTGTATAAACCCAGACTGGCAGCCAGGGCTCGTTGTTTCCTTTTCTTCCTTTAGTGTTTGTGTAAGACTGAGGGGACCCATGCTCCTAGTGCCCCCCACTGGGCAGCTGAGGCTGTGGACTTCAGAAGCTGGCTTGGGGTAAGCCTTGAGCTCAGTTCCCTGCCTGCCTTTCCTGTTCTTTACTTTGACCTCCCACCCCTTTCCTGGAGATAATGGCCCTTCCTGCGAGTGAAATAGAGGTATTGGAAAGAAAGCTCAAGGGTATTTCAGGAAACCCCAGGCAGGGTACTTGGCTCTTTCTACCACCTGTTAACACCTCAACATTCAACACCCTAGGTTTTTTTTTTTTTTAATATATATTTTTTAAATTTATTTCTAGGAGAGAGAGAGTGAGACAGCGTGAGCAGGGGAGGGTCAGAGCGAGAGGGAGACACAGACTCTGAAACAGGCTCCAGGCTCCGAGCTGGCAGTCAGCACAGAGCCCAATGTGGGGCTCAAACCCACGAACCGCGAGATCATGACCTGAGCGAAAGTCGGACGCTTAACCGACTAAGCCACCCAGGCGCCCCAACACCCTAGGTTTTTGTTTTGATCACACTCACCTTATGTGCTATCAGAAGATGTCCATGGTGAGAAGGAGGGGCCCTGGGTCCAAGGGGTCTTGTATCTTCCTTCCTCATCTCCTGTTATGGGCAGGCCTAACTCTGAGGTAAAGCTAGGGAAACGACTTCTCACTTCCAAATTCTTCCGAGTATTTCTGTCATGTTCAGTTTATGCCGATTTCACATCTTTAAAAATAGTGATGGGGAGACCACGCAGGGAAAACAGTATACCTGGGGCCCTGTAAGTCTGGATCTCTTCAGCGGTTGGACGTCTCATGTGTAATTGGTCACCCTGAATGTGGAGCCCTGCTTGGCTCGGGGCTGCGTAAGGGACATGCAGGATAAGGGGTAGTAGCTGCTGTTGTCCTTCAGCCTAACGCTGGCCCATGCTGTTGGCCTCTCAGGAGGGTGTACAGAGTCTCAGGGACATAGTGGGGTATAGTGGCTCTCAGTGACTGCTATGGTGGGAAAGATGTCAGGGAGGAGGGAGGCATCCTTTTGGAAGATTTGGTTAGTGAGGTTTAGAGGAAAAAGAGAAGTATGATTTGCAACTTTCTCTAAACATCCAGATGGATCCCAGACACAATCCAGAAAGGAAGATCTGATTTTATTTGTCTTCCTCCCCCGGCTCTCTAAATAATTTTATCTTCAAAGCAGGATGCCGGCATTAATTAACACTGTGGCTCTCCTGGGAGGTAGGCAGGTGGGAACACCACCCCTGTTAGTGAAGCCCAAGGAATAGGCAGGCTGAGAAGCTTTAGGCAGGGCAGCCAGAGAAGCAGAGTGTGTATTGAGGTTTTGCCCTCAGACCTTTACTTGGACGTAGCCTGGAAGCCACCTACTTTCTCACTGTCCTTGGCTCCTAGTAGAATAAAATTGCTGAGGCAATGGCAGGAGAGATGTTTGGTACCATGGGATGACTAATGGGAACTTAGAGGGTTGAGGAGAGATTCTGGTAAAACTCACTGTCATTGTGAATTTTAGATGCAGGAGTCTGATTATGCCATTTGCTTGCTTGCTTTTCAGACAAAGTACTAAGCATCTATTTCTGGGCAAAGTATGGCAAGAAGAACTTGCTAGCCATAAGGGACATTGCTGGTTGGGAACTTGATCCTTTGTATCCCATGCTTGGTCCATAAAACAGAGGGTGGTGTAGAGTATGGTGGTTTCTCCTGGTAGTGGTTTCATGCGTTGGAGGACTCCGGGCATCCGGAGATGGATGACAAATATATCTGCGACTGTGGATTTAGTGACTTTGTAGAGGCTGAACTTTTCCTTTTCCTTTAGCCATATATCTTGGTTGTCTCAGAAGAGGAGGCCCCTTAGGAGTCTTCTCCCTGGGGCTACAGGTGGCACATCCTTAAGCCTAGCCTCTTCTCGGGTTCCCTAAGAATGTTGATCATGCCAGTTTCTCAGTGTTGGTGGAAGGTAGGTAGGGTGGCTGTTGAGAACCCTGAGTTGATACTAGCCCTCCAACTCTAGAAAACCAGCAACACTGGGATCTCCAGGAGTTTCTTTCTCATTCATTGGGCATCTTGGCGATGATAACAGGAAACAGAGAAGAGGTCATTTTTCCCTATAAATGTTGCCCTCTTGGGTGTCATTTGGACTCCACTTGCTTTGCAGGAAGCCCTGTTCCATCAGCTGATGATATTCCCCTTCTCTTGGCGCTGCAGGCTGCTGAGAACCAGCCCTAGACCTCTGCTTGTGGGTCCTTCCTCTGAAGACGTCACCAGTGTGTGGAGCCTGCCCCACACCCACTCCCTGCCAAACCACGGCCTTTACCTGTGTCTTCCGGTGTTTCCCGTGCGACCCATCCTGTGGGAGTGCCTCGTGGGCCACTCCGGAGTTCACTCCACGCTCTGCGGCGCCAATGGTGAAGATGACAAGATCCAAGACTTTCCAGGCGTATCTGCCTTCCTGCCACCGGACCTACAGCTGCATTCACTGCAGAGCCCACTTGGCCAATCACGATGAACTCATTTCCAAGGTACATGTTCCCTGCAGGCCTTGCTTGCCCACCCCAGGGAGCAGAGGGGTGGGAGCATTTCTGGCTCATAAGGTTGCACAGGTTTATAAGCTCTCCCAAAGAACCCAGGATATTTGTATTTTGGTTTTGTTTGTTTGTACAGATACCCTTCCTGGCTATCTCACTCAACTGAGAAATAACTCTGAGTGGCAGGGAGGATGTACTAGCTTAATTTGTAATTCTGGAAATTAGATGTCATCCCTGTTGGAGTTGGGGGGAGCTGGTGGCTCACAGGCCAGAGGGGAGAGGGGCTGAGGAGTGATCGGAGCCTTTTGCTTGGCTAGCTTAACTCAGGTTGGCAGGTGAATGCCATGCAGAGGGCTGCCTGCCTGGAAATTGAGCTCTAAGAAAGGTGTTAGGGGCAGGATATCTCAGAGGAGGCACTTCTTAGCTGACATGAGAAAGGATAGTGTCTGCCAAGCCCCGTAGGAAGGTGACAAGACTGCTGAGTTACTAAAAATGGGTGGCCTTTGGGGAGGACCAGAAGTGGCTTGGTGAAGAGCTGACCCTGTGGCCTATGGGGATCTTTATGGCAGCTACCTGAAATACTGTGGTGTGACACTTGATCAAAATTAGAAGAAAGAATGGAGCCCTATTTCCCTGAAAAGCTTTAGCAGCTGCTTCCTAAAGGGAGGGTGAGGGGATTACTAATGAATCAATAAACATCCCAAATGTTAAATCCAGAAACTGGCTCCTTCAGGCAACATTCTCAGGGGAGCTACCTTCCTCCTGGCCCTAAATCCCATGGGAGGAGAAACAGGTTTTGCTAGGCTGCACTTAAAGGAGAAAGATCATGGGGACCCTTTCTCTCTACAAACCATCCTTCCTCAGAACCTGGACTTCATGCCATTAAAATAAAAAAAACAAGCCAACCTGTAATCATACCCAGATTAAATTAAAAAAAAAAAAAAAAGTACTGTTCTTGATCTGTTTACAAGAACTTCTAGAAAAGGTGGCATTACTCTTCCCTGCCTCTGGCTCGATAGCCCAGCCAGAGAAGGGTGAAGTGTCCTGTCCAGCTGGCTGATTTGACAGGAAGTGAAGGAGGCTGCTTGAACAATCATGTCTGTGGTTGTGGGTCTTCTCAAATCAGGACTCAGGACAGAAGTCCTCCTTCTAGGCCTATTCCAAGATCTAGGTTTACCACAGATCTTGAATCCTGGAGCCCACAGAGTCTTGGCCCCTGGCCCACTTTTACTTCTCTCGGTTTCTGCTAATTACTTTCTTTTATGCCATTTATGTTCCAGCCAGCCTATAGCTTCCTTCTCTGTCAACGGGCTCATCTTGTCTCATTCCTCTTGAATCTTTTGGGAACCCCTCATGTCTGGAATTTTGGATTCCAGGGGAGGCTGTGTCAGTGAGGGAAGAGAGGAGTCAGTCCTCTTTGCTTTGGAAGGGGGCCTGCAGCTTGGAGGGAAAATGTGAGCTGTCCTATTTCTGGAAATCTCCAGGGAAAATGGAAGTCGAGACATCCTTTTAATACCAGGAGGAAGTACTGTGTATCATAAGAAATTGAGGTAACAATAAAATGTATTTTAGCACCTTGTATGTACTGAAAACTGCTACTTGACACTTTGTAAATGTTATCTCACTTAACCCTAAGAAGACTTTAAGGTAGGTGATGGTAATCATATTTTATGGATGGAGAAGTTGAGACTCCTACAGGCACTCCAAGAATGCAAATCGGAGGCTTAAAGGAGAGAGAGGAATTACTTTGAGTGCGTTCAAGAAGGATTTCTGGAAGGGGTGGTATTTGAGCTGGGTCTTGAGATGGACAGAAGGGAACATGTGGAGATGGTAGTGGCATTCAGCATTGATGTTTGAAGCCTGGTATTCAGGGCCTTGGACAATCTGGCCTTTTGAGTTCGATTTCTTGCCAGTTCGTTGCTTTATTTTCCAACCACTTGGAACTAAGCAACATCCCTGAATATGCAGATGGGCATATTTCAGGCCTCTGTGCCTCAGCCAACAGCAGCAGCCCTTCTTCTTCACCTCTTTCCTCTCTCTTCACCAAGGACCATATATACTAGTTTGGTATCTCTGGGTCAGAACCTGACCCGTTTGCAGACCTCAGTAAATGAGCAGATAAACAGATGGGTGGAGCTTGAGCCTTGGAAGAAGACCAGTGATGAGCAAAAACCATCTTTGCTGGCCTCATGTCCTCCTTCCTGCCCCTTCTGGGGCAGAAAGGCTCATTCACAAGTCCAGGCCAAAGTCAGCACAGGCTTCAGTTTCACTGGCCACAACCGGTGCACAGATGGGGTACATTAGAGCTTGATGATTTAAAGAGTTGGGTTAAATGCTTCGCTGTGGGGAGGGGGTGAGGGAACTGTGGCTGGCACAGCACAAAGATTCCTTTATTTCAGTCTGCAGCCACCCCCAGCGTTAAATAATCTATAGATTCTTATGCAGGTCTGCTTAAAGGAAAGATCACTGCCCCAGCCCCCTCCTTGGAAAATGGGCCTTTCTTTTCATTTTGTTTCTCTCTTCCATTTAAGAAAGTTCAGGGAGAGAATGTTTCTCCTGTTCTCCCCTCTTGACATAATCTCCTATGTGGTTTCAGAATCTGCCCAGTGGGAGTTAGGAGCTGGGAAGCAGATAACTGGAGCAGCAGTGTAATTAAATGATACTTTGTACTTGTAATAGAGCCTTTCATCTGGAAGCCTGACATTCCGTTGTTTGGTTAAAAAAAAAAAAAAGTGAGTCTGACTTCCTTATGGAGAAGCAAACACTAAAGCTCTGAATATGTGGCTGGTAGAGAATTGGGAACAGAGTCAGGACTTCGGGCTCCCGTGGAAATGTGTAGTTGTAAAGTTTTGAACAATTAGGGTCTGTACTGAGGTGGTGGAAAGAAATCCTGCACCAGGCTTTCCACCTTCTTGCCTTGCTGTAAGTCCCCAGAGGCCCCATTGCCTGGAATCAACTGTCCAACCTCTGAGTCTCAGTTTCTCACTAATGAAAGGAGTGAAGTAATATGTGCTGTGTGTAATGCCCAGTAGCTAGCACTTCTGTGTGCTTACTGTGTGCCACCTCCGTAACAGTCCTGGGAGGTAGACATAACCATATTTGAAGGTTGGGTGAGGAGGTTTACCTCATTGGGTTGTTACGAGACTGGATGAGATCATGGGTGTGTGGGTGGTTGGCAAGTCACAAAGCTCCTATGCAAATATAAAGTAGGCCCTCTGCTTCTCTTGGTCTAAAGCGGGATCGGGGGTGGTGGAGGGTATTGTTCTTGATCGAGACCAAGCAAATTTAGTCTAGCCAAGATCATTTCACTTTAGAACCTGGAGCCCAGAAGTTTGATTTAAGAGGAAAAGGCCCTAGAAGAAGACAACAGTAAAAGCTTGTGTGTCTGCACAGAGGTAACAGAGCATTTGCTCTGTAGGACGGGGTTGGGGGTGCTCTTTGAATTGATGACAGAACTATCTAGGGAATGTGCTGAGACATCCTACATTTTCTTAGGGGGTGTTGTGGTCTAAAGTCTGGAGTGTTTGCATGCAGAGGTATTTTAGGTTGGCATGAGGAATTGCTCACATTGTTGTTTCTCACTTCACGGTGCAAGCCCCATTATAAAAATATACTGTGTTTATAAAATAATAATAGTTTCAATTGGAACAGCTAGTTGCCCCAAGCGAGAACAATCTATTGCTCATTTCAGTGGAAACTAGCTATTATGGAAGCCTGGATCTTCACAAACTTTTTTCATGAAAATGTTTTGTCTGCTCTCCTTCCTTTGCTTCTCTCCTGCCGACCCATCACCCTTTGATGTCATTGTGGAGTAGGATATTTGGAATGGTGAGTTGGATTGATCTCTCACAAACTCACTTTGGGGATGGTGGCTTCTTTACAAGACAGTTTGCTCTGGTGTTCTGGGTCCTCAGAGGGAAGGTGTTGTAGGAGGCTATAGAGTGGGTGTCCAGTGCAGGGGAAAGGTAGAAAGCTGTTTATTACTACGTCAGATCTTCTGGTGACAAATACAGAATTCCCAGAATTGCAGATCATCTAGCCCAGCTTCTCTTCATAAGGAAACAGACTGTGGGCAACTCAGTGACTGGCCTGAGGTTCCACAGCCTCGGAACCAGACATCTCTATCTCATACCCCTTTATCTGTGCTCTGTGTGAGGAGCTCTGGCTTTTTTTTTTTCTCCCCAAGCACTGGGCCTCCTTGTGAGGCTGGGAGGTTTTAGAAGGCTGGTTCTTTTTGTTCCCTATAGGGCTCCATTTGGCCTACAGCGGTAGCATTTTGGTTTTCTCTGCCTGCCTAGATGTTAAGATGCAGCATTGCTTTGAGAAAAGTGGTAGGAAGGAGAGGATGTTCTGAAGCAGTGTGTTGGTCTAGTGGCTACTGAGAGGCCCCCTCTGCCCGCTGTGGCCCACCTCTGCTTCTGAGCACTAGTGTTCAACACCAGTGATTTTCAAAAAGACTTGTACCCCTAACACAGTGGCTTAGAGGTAGTGGACATAGAGGGAGGGGTGCTGATGTGGAAGTCCAGAGATCAGATGTGGCTCTTGAAGATAATTTTGAGCTTTCCTAACTTGCAAAATATATGTTGAATTCTAATTTTATTAATTCTAATTTTATTAATTGAAAGATTTTTGGTGTCCAGTAGATATGTGACAATGATTCTTGCAAAAACTATAATTCAGTAAAATTAGTATTTCTATTCCAGCAGTAGGAAAAAACTAGATTGTATGTAAATCTACAAATGTCTATATCATAAAAAGTGAAATTTTTGTTTCTAAAATAGCGTGACCTATGATTGTACCAGAGTTACTGATGGGCTTTAAGAAAAAAGATGTTGGTGACAACCATGTTGGTAGGACTCATACCATAGTGGGTACCTTTGCTTCTTTTGCAATGTTTGTGAAATGTTGTTGAATGTTTGTTGGTTTCCCCAAACAGCATTTCTGAGGGACAGCAAAAGCAGAAGCGATAAATTGTGGAAGAGTTCCAACATAAG